CACAAAATTTTAGCTGTATCGAAACGTCGAGCATAATGTTGTTCTAATTGTTGCCATCTCTAGGCCATCAAGAAGCCCCTCAACAACTGGGAGCACTGATTGTGGCTCATTTGTTTTATGTTTTCGCCTTCCCGTGCCCGCGAGTAACATGTACAGCCTCGTAAAAGTACTGGCGAGGATAATTATAAACTCGGGAACCACGGGAGCTAGGGAGATGGAATTCTACAGATATGTCCCCTGTCCACGCTGACCCTGCAAATTTAAATTCAGCCTTCTCGTGTCCACAGGTAACACATACGCTAAACATGTTTTTTGAAAGGAGAAAGCAATTAATTAGTGTTTTTGATCAACATTTTTTATCACGTTATCTTTAGATATCACAGTTCTGCATATCTCGTTGCCCTATCATTGGACGGAACGCGTCAAACGATGTACATACGGTTGTTTTCGGAATTCAGATTTTTCATGTTTCATGGAATATGGATGGGCTTCTCTCCCGTACTATCTTCCTCACGCAGCGCTGATTTTTTCCTGAAGTCATCACAAATTAGCAAGCAATATTTTTATGTATTTGTTTGATTTGCTTATAACTAGTGGAACTGTTGTACACATTTTGGAAGTTTTACCTAACTTTTCCCGGTTTTTCTTGTTTTTGTACATATTGCAAGAGTGAACAAACTGTCAGATGTAGTGGAAGCGCCAGAATCTTGTTTGCTGTAGCAATAATAAGGAATTTTTAAAGAAACATATTCAGTTGCTTATTCTTAGCCAGCTGCTATAATATCTTTTTTTGGATGGATTTTGTTTCCTTTGTGGGAGATCTCAAAAAATTTTGAACTATATTCCAGCATTAGAATTGGAATCCGAAAAAATGGTTTCATATTGTTTGTTTAAAATCGTGATTTTTTTCTCTTTCTTTCTTTATTCAGTTCCCTATTATGCGATCCCTCTCTTTGTGGGCAGCTTCGCAGTATTCATTCTTTTTTTTGCTGTAAATATGGCCAGATCTCCCGCATTTTCTCATTTGGTTTTCGATTAATCGTGGTGATTTCACAGCCGTGATATTATTTTTATGCTTCTTTTTTCTTTTGCATACGTTGGGAATTTTCTTCTTCGCGGTCACTTTTGCTGTTACCGTTTGTAAAATAAGTAGTGGGCTACGCGTGCCAAGCAAGATAGTCTTTGTACGATCTGCCCTCTGGTTCCAGTAATAAAATGGCTGATTCCGGTCGCAAAAAGGCGCAGATCTTTTTGTTCCAGGTGCTTCTGGAAAGAGGAGAGATTGCCTTATTTCGTTCATATCCCTCGCTTTCGTCTGTGTTTTTATTTACAAAATACATATGGTTTTCAAATCTTTGGGTTTGGTCTTGTCCCTCGTCCCAGTCTAATTTGTCCCTGAAATTCTGGCTGTCCAGTTATCATCCGTTGCGTTTTTTTTTTTCTTTAGCTTATTTACAAACCGTTTTTTACGTTTGGGCAGGACAGCTATTCCAGGCACTTCTTTAAAAAGGGTTGACTGGAAGACTGTAATGCTAGTTCCTCCAATATTCTTATCTAATGATTCATTTCCAGCTTTCCTCTGTTTACCGTATCTTTGTTTCCCACGCGTTTGAGGTACTGCGAAAAATAATAAAAAAACAACGTATTGTTGGAGAATATCACTAATATGGGAACCCATATGGACTGCCCTGGTGGCTTTGCTGTTTCTGGTATAATTCGGGATTTACAAACACTTTATTCCCAGGCATAAGTCACCATTTATATGCATGCCAGTCATTATTTGTTTGTCATTTCAAGCACTGCACTTTATTGGGTGTAGTAAAGGGAAGGGCAGTATTTGAAAAATAATACTTTTCCTTCCACTTTTTTTCTTGATTTTTGTGAAATTTTGTACCACATATTGCAGTTTTTTGCGTAGTATTTTATTTTTTTGAGGGGTTGAAACTATCCCTCCCTACCTCTTCCTCGCCACCTTCCCTCGTCCTCTTCCTCCCTCTCCCAACCTCATCACACGTGTCCTTTATCTAGTTTAGCCCAGTGCAGTTTCAGATTTGCAGAAAAGCAAGATGCTGCTAAGCTTTGTGACTCCAGTCCCTGTCTTTGTAATCCACTTGCGCAAATACCATGGCCAAATTTTACTCTAATATTTTTCCGGGTTTTTGCTTCGGTGGATTGTATACGGTGGACTGGTAATTGCTCATACATTTATTTTTGTTGTTATGTTATTTATGATATGCGTATTTTGTGATGTGTTTGCATTACGGGCGCTTCCTTGGTTCATTTATTTCTTTGCATCTTTTATATGGCAAGTATTTTTTAAGGAAATGTTATTAATAAAGCATGTTTTTTGCCTCAGATCACACTGTATTTGCAGTGCAAAAAAACTTCGGTATGTGTTTACAGCTAAGAGATGAAATACAAATTATGTCGTAGAATGTCCTCCGGCGCATGACACTTAAGACCAGTCCTTCTGTTCTACTATTTCGCTATAGCAGGTACCTTCTTCCGACTTTTTAGTCCCTTAAGAAGCAACCTTTTTGCTGAAAAGATACAGAAGATTTAGAAGTTTTCTATCGTCGCATCCACAGTTGATAGTTGCAAGACACAATCAGCTAAGCCATTGATCACGAAAAGAAGTAGCTGTTCTTTCAGGTGTTATATTCAAGAAATGCGAGTGTTTTCAAGATTGTTGGGAATCAGGCTGAGAATGCAGGAAGCACTATTTTTCTGAGGGTGTTTGCTGTCCGTGTGCGGACCGCCAAGCGTAAGATGAGCTTCTGCCTAGGCATGCACCTATCTACAGGTGCACCACATTTTCAAACTGCGAAGTCGTGGTTTCAGCCTTGGTACAGGCAATTTCTCCACAGGGTGGCAATACGCAAAAATGCATGATCGCACCGGCAAACCTGTTGCGTCGTTAGCTGGATAATTTTCTAGTTTGAATTATTTCAAACATAACAATTTGGCGTATTATTGAAATTTTACCGCGAATATCACTAACATCATTAATATTAGTATTCCAGTGAATTACTGTTGCAACCGGCAAAACCTACACTTTGTAACGAGCAGCAACTCGTGTTGCAGCAATCTTGGGGGGGAATGTTTATCCACTTTCGTCCTAGGTATTGTAGATCAGCGCTGTTCGTGTAACAGGGATCCAGGAATCAGTTCGATTCAGAATAGGAAAATAGTTAGCGAAAACAAAGTTTTGTGGCCATCGCTAGATACTGCTGATGCTCATGAAAACTAGGACAAAATCGAGGGCTGGGAAAATGTACGCAGCTTGTGAATGAAGAAATTTTACATGTGGGTGCATGTTTGAGTGCCGCAATTTTTTTGTAATTATGATTCGAATGCTCCAGAGATATGGAATGTAAGAAATTTTTACTCCTGTTTTACACATTTTCAAAAGAACTTTGTTTGTTGGTAATATGGGAGTCAAGATATTTGTGATTGGCGAGTTACTGCAACAGAAGATCCCGCACTAGAAGTGTAAGGGAAGGTCAAACATAAAACCCAGGCTGGAACGCACCAGACGAGCCGGTGCGATCATGCGTTTTTGCATCAGACTCTGAGGTACTCCATCAAATTTCCCTGCCTTTTTGAAATGCAAATTTCCAGTTCACTAAAAAGT